ATTATTTATGCATTATTAACTGGACTCCTGCTCATGTGCATTCAAATTTATTTCAATAACTGTCTTGTTTTGTCATTTTAGAAACAACAGTTATGACATGAACTGTTCTGTAAGATTACATCAAATATGAAACCATATTCTCTCCAGGCTTACAGGAGGATGTGCGCTTCTTTCCTATTTACGCATTAATTAATTATTCTTTAAGGTCCATCTTGTTAAAATGATGCTCTTGCTTCTACAAAGTGTAGATGTTGTGTGTTATTTTTTATTTTGAGTGAGAAAGTGGTGTTCATCAATAATCTGCATGCACCTGTGGACCAGGTGAGCTGATTTGTGTGTGTGTGTGTGTGTGGATAGATGTGTTTATTTTTATTTCTTATTTTTATTTACTTATTTATTTTTCTTATTTTATTTTTGGGGAGGGAGGGGCATGTTGGGAGAAAGAAAGTGTCTGATTCACACTCCGGGGCAGAAGGTGGCGATAATGCACCAATAAGATGGATGCCAACTAAAAACCTTAACCCGTGAACCAAAAAAAGAAGGAGGAGAGGCATTCAGCAGCTGGAGCAGCACTGAGTAGACGCACACAGCTGGATTTTATCAAAGGATTGTGAGCAGTGTTAAGAGTGTTAGGCAGAGGTAGGCTGTCGGCAGCAGCTGTATTCGCCTCCAGGTGGTCCGTCCAGTGCTCATTTAAGTGTTTTTTGTGTCCCAGAAGCTCACTAGTATGGCTGCATACTATTCTCCACCTGATGCACTCAATGTCCACCGCTGGTAACTCTCGTGGTATCGTTGATCCCTCTGACCCACGCTGATTGTCCGAAACGGCCTGACCGGGCAAAAGATCATTGAGCAGCAGCACTACACCAGCCAACCTGCCAGAGACCACTGCTGCTTTGCCTTTGGCTAAATTCACCCTGTTTGGGTCTGCTTTGTAGTGATAGCAAAGTGAAGCTTTCCAGCCAATTGTATCGGAAAAAGGTTCATTGATTCAGTGCATCGCAAACTATGATGACCTCTGCTGTTGAAAACCTATAGTGCATATGTATCAAATAGACCAGTATATTTTGACCCAGTCTCTGTGGGTTGAAAATGATTATGAAAAGTTGAACCAATAAATCATCTAATAAATACATGGATTCCTATATACAATTTAAAATACCAGTGCTTCCTACTGCATGTGCAGTTCATAGCAGTCATAGGGACTTATGTGAATTGTTTGAATGTGGGAAGTGATTGTGCTTTTGGACAGGTTTATTATGACAGGATATTGTGGTGCTTGTGGACACATGGGATGGGGCATGAAATTATTGATTTTTATTGAGAAACACAATTTTCTTCACAGTATTTGGGTTGAGTCGGTTTCTTTTTGCAGATACTATTTCCCCTGCCTTAGAAAAAAGGCGCTCACACGGCACGGATGAGGCAGGAATACTCATAAGATTGCGTGCTAATACAAATAGATGTGGGTACATATGTTAGTCCCAATATTTTAGCGGGTCTTCACTCCGTGGAATGTTTGATTCAGCCAAATATCTGGTGGTCTCCACAATAAAAATAAACATAATTACATAATTACACAATACAAATGACAGACTTTGCCTGCCTATTGCCAACCTTGTTAGAGGAAATCAAATTGGAGTGCTCCCACATCTCGGAGCGACCTCTCTGCCACAGGTTCCATTGTAAATTTGCTCTTTGCTACTACTACTACAACAACACTGACTTTGACTGTATCAAACCGACAAGCCCGAATCCTGTTTCGAGCCCATTTGAATCAAATTCAAGCGGTCACGTGACTGTGCGCCGGAATGAAGATTCGGATGTCACTGATCACGTGATCAGCAGTGAACGAACCGAGCACCGATACATTTGCTTTGCCGTGCACTGGTTCATATTTCGACACAAGCTTCGAAGCAGGAGGGTCGGAGGTAACAACACTACTGCTTTGGCTTTGGGGTCTGCTTTGGCTAAATTCACCCTGGTTTGGGGTCCGCTTTTTTTTGGCCTCCCCACATTGCTAATTTTTGCGTGTTTCGCTGTGGGCCTCCTAACTGGGTCAAGACATATTTTAACTGTGTACAAGAGACAGGCCGTACTTATTAGTTATTTTCCTTATTTGTGATTTTGTTAAGCTTTGGTTAAGCCGTTTGTCGATATTTTACCAGTATAGTTTTTGCGTAAATGTAATTATTTTCTCTTTTCTTTCGGTTTTGGCTTAGTTTTTTAGTGCAAAGTGCAAATCAACATGTAGCCTCATAAGCTTATAATCAAATTCATTTGAATAATGCTTCAGCAGTCAATATTTTGACATCACAGAGCCAGCAGTTGCTCTTCATATCTTCTTCATGCGATCAACACGTGATCATCTCACGCGCACATCCGCAGCGGCGTGTAGAACCGACAAGGTTTCTTGTGCCACACGTCTGGCTACGAGGTGACTGGCTTTCAGGTCGGATTCAGAGTTGCGAGTCAGTCAGATGACCGACCTTTTCTGCATCTGTAGCCCATTTTCCTTTGTTTTAAAAAAATCCGCCGGCTGTTTGGTTTCCATATGCCGCTTTAATTTTGACGGCTTCGGTGCTTCGTTGTTGGTCCAAACTCCACACTGGGCTCTCTCCTTATACACCTCCTTATTACCTCCGTTTATACATCCGTACTTAATGAAGTCAGGATTGTATTGTTGGGCACCACCTTCCTCTTCATTTTTTATTTTAAATTTCTAATGACTTTCACTTACATACCAGCTTGGCGGCTGTCGGTCTTTTTTCTGCTTATTGGAGCTGTTTAAACAACTGACGGACGCGTTACCGCCACCAAGTGGTGGGAAGCAAAAGAACGTCTCATGGATAAATAACGTCAATATCTCCGGTCTCTTCAATTTGTACCCTATGGTTAACAATCACTGAAAATATACAATATGTTTGATTCATAATAGAGAAATTAGTCTGCTATTTAACCACACAAACTATGATTTTACCACTGGTCCTGATCACACTGTCACACCTGTATGTCAAGTGTCTCCCCTCTGTTTGTTTTCGTGACTTCCTGTTTTATTTTGGAAATTAACTCTCGTTTCAGGTTCCTTGCTCTTCCTGATGTGTCACCAGACTGATTGTCTTCCTGATTCCTGATTGTGTCCACCTGTTCCCGCTTCCCCCATGTGTTCATATAGTCTGCGTCTCCCTTTGTCTTGTGCCAGTGTGTCGTCCTACGTCGTCATACCAGCCAGTGTCCAAGATCCATAGTCATAGTTTCTCTAGTCTCGTGACCACAGTTTTACCTCGTTCGAGTGATTTTTCTTTGTAGCTCTTTTTTGTTCGTCAGGTCTCAGTTAGGTTTAGATAAGTAGCTTTGTTTTCCTCCTTTTGGAGTGACCTTCTTTTTGGATCTATTAGTACTCTGTACCATGAATAAACTGTCATCCTATACACCTGCTCTGCGTCTGAGTCCCGCTCGGTTCTGACACACACATGTTATAGTTTCAAACGCTGTAGGCGTGCTTTTCTGCTTGAATTAAACGTGCATCAAATGTGTTCAATGATTGACTTTGTAGGAGTCCCTCTGGTGTACGAGTCTTTCTATTGGCAACGCAAAGTCTTTATTGGAGCTTCTATGAGGTCTGAAGCCACGGCGACTGCTGAGCATCACCTGACCTTCTACTGCTAAGGCCCATTCTTCATTCTCCAGGCAAGGTGATCATGCACGACCCCTTCGCCATGCGGCCGTTCTTCGGTTACAACTTCGGCGACTACCTCGCTCACTGGCTGAGCATGCAGACCCGGAAGGCCCCCACTCACCTGCCCAAGATCTTCCACGTAAACTGGTTCAGGAAGAACCCGGCGAACAGCGCCTTCCTGTGGCCCGGGTTCGGCGAGAACGCGCGCGCCCTGGAGTGGATCTTCAAGCGCTGCGGCCGGAAGAGGGAGGAGGAGGCGGCCAAGAGGAGCATCATCGGCTGGCTGCCAGAGGATGGCGCCATCGACACCAAAGGTCTGGGCAGCGATGTGGATATGGGGGCCCTGTTCGACGTGCCCAGGTCTTTCTGGCAGAAGGAGACGAAGGAGTTGAGAGCCTACTTCTCCCAGCAAGTTGGAGGCGATCTACCTGCTCAGGTGGAGGCGGAGCTCCACACACACACACACACACACAGCTTAGATCCCTAATCACACTTATTGGTTTTACTCATGTAAACATGAACCCTGAGTCCTGAGGACCAGGTTGGGATTTGGCTTAGAAAGATCTGACCCCTAATTGGTTTTTACAAGAAGTTTGTGAACTGAAATGCAGGTTTTAGAGAGTTCTAGTACTCGCTGCTCATCAAAAATGGTTCGTGTCAGTATTTTAATTGTTTGAATTTCAATGATCTGATAAATGAAAAGCTCCATTTAAATAAAATAAAAACAATAGCCAGGCCAGTAATCGTTAACTTTGTGTGTGTAAAATAATCTCAACCAGTGACTCTCATCTTTCTCTTTTATGAAGGGAAATCTGTTGGGAATAGAAATGTCAGAGATAAAAAGTCTACATTGCAGCAACTTTGGACGTGACTTTCCACTAATGGATGCCGGTGGGAGGAGGGAGGTTTGTCCCAACATAAAGGTCAGATTTCTCAGACGTTGAACATAAAGAAGCTAATGTCACTAAAACACAATCAACACAACCTTGTTGTACCTTTGAGACGTTAAACAACTCAACTGTTGGGCTTCTAATGTTTTCATGCTGAAACCCAAAGATGATCTTTTGAGAAAAGTCAGTTTTAACCTTTTTTTAAAGTGTCTTTTAGCACCAGATCTTTTATTATACAATTGACTGAGTTTCAGGAAAGGCCCTTTCTATTTCTCGTTAAGCTTTGCATTCAAATACATTAATAAAAAGACCAAGTGGGAATTGTTGTGCATAATTCATTCTGACACTCTGACACTGTAATGTTTGTGATTTAAGCTGTATGATGTTTGCACACAATATTTGAAATTATGGACCAAAAAATGCAACAGAGATTAAGTCGTGTATAGGTTTTTTATTACGTTGCAATTAATACATATCTTGAAATTCAGTAAATTGTCTTTTGAAGAAGACGAAATAGAACAATAAAACATTAATCCAAAAGATAACTAAATGAGTTTTGAAGACACCTTTTAAAATATGCAACAAAGAAAAAATCATAAGCTGATATATTAACAGGGCTTTCTTTGAGAATACATAATTACTCTATTTAGAGCAGTGGGACTATTATTTATACTAATTGTGAATACCTCAATATGTCAACAATGTATAAAATTGCAGGGTGCTGCAGGATGTGGAGGTTTGAAGTTCCCCTTTAACTGTGAGCAGTGAAGATTACATTTTCTTAAAATTATTTGTCTCCAAAAACTGACAGATGAAGCTAGTTATTTATGTAAAAAGCATCTTAAAAATAAAACCCAAATGTGACGACAAGAAACGGCTCATTTTCTCTTCACTTGAGCGTAGAGATCCTCTGGGACGTCAGCAGTCCGTGTGACGTTGTCTGCTGCCTTGGACACTTTGACCTGCGCATACAGCGTGTCCTCCTGCTGTCCACCGTCCTGCTCCGAGACCGAGGACGGTCCAGATCTGAGCCTCGAGAAGTTAATCTCTCCATAGTGGACGCCTTCTTCTTCTGTTGTCACTGTCTCTCCAACAGGCTGATTCTGCATGAAAGAATAAATGAAGCAAACAGGAACTGATTGTGGAAGCACCTTGATTCCAAATAATTACAAAACCACACAGAGTTGTTTGGTGTGTTCTCACCTGACTCTGATGTGCAGTTGGATGTGGAGACTTAAAACGCCTGCAAGACAAAATGTTGGGTCTAATACACAGAATACCAAAAAAAGACCACATGTCATTGGAGACACATTCTTTACTGATGCTACTGACCAAACAAAAACCAGGCCGATGAGCACGATGATCCCAATGATTCCTCCAAGAACTGCACCCAATGGAAGATGATCAACTCCACCTCAAGACAAGATGAAAAAAAACACAGAAGTGACTAATTGAAGACACCATGGGAATGTAACAATATTGATTGCTGAAGTACCTTTATTAGTTACCTTCTATAGTCAGATGGATCTCAGATGAAGTTTGATTACCAAGCTGATTGGTGGCCACACAGTAATAAACTTCTCCATCAGTGACATTGAAGCTGTAAAAGTCTCCTTCAGATACTTTGATTGGTGCATCTCTGCTGGTCTTGAACCAGGTGAAGCGGCTCACAGGAGGTTTGGCTCTGCTGGAGCAGGTCAGGATCACCCGGCTACCTGCTGACACCCAACCTGATGGACTGATGGACACCGAGGTGTTCTTGGGAGCATCTGAGGAACATGTGACATTAAAACTTCATGCAGCTGACATCGTGTGAACACATGAATCATCGTATGCTGACAGGATCAAAGAACAAACACTCACATGAAACACTGAGAGTCTTTCTCTCCTCTGACGTCTTTACATCTTTTCCTTCATTCACAGGATATCTGGCAGAACAGGTGATGATGAATCCATCATGTTCATGTGACAGAGTGATGCTCTTCTGGATTCTAGTTGTGAAGGTTCCATCTGTGTTTTCCTCCATCGTGTGGTGAGAGTCTGGTTGGAGGTTCCAGGTGAGTTGAGGAGGAGAGTGTGGACAGGGAGTGGAAGCTGAGCAGCTTATAGAGACAGACTCCTTCTCCTTCACATCAGCTGAGATCTCAATCCTGGGCTTTGGAGGAGAATCTGTGGTTTCAAATCAAATACAGATTGTACACTGAAAAAAGAGTAACAAGACTTGAGTCTACAGTCTGTGATAAAAGTACTCTTCTACATTTGAGAGTGAAATGTTTTTCTTTTACTCCACTATCAGATGCAGCATCTCTCCGTCACTGCTTGGAATAAACCATATATTCATCAATTATGCTGTGTTTCCTGCAGCGATTTTAGTCCCAAACACTTGATGAAAAGTAAAATATTACTTGGGTCAAGATGCAAAGTACAAAAAGATTTGTTTAAAATGACGAGGCCGTGTTCTGCCGTTATTCAACAGTTCACTGTTGTAGTGAACAAGTTTTTAATTATTTTTTATTTTTAGTTTATTTTAGTCACTTTTCTGATGTTTCTGAATGTCAGCAGATTCATCAACATTTCTCCTCTGAACTTCTCACATGGCTTCATTTAATAATTACACTACTTCATAATGAATCAAAGATTAGAGAAAAGTCCCAAATATGAACTCAAATGTTTAGCAGAACTTTTTTTCTCTTTTCTTTTCCCACCAATCTCATGCCCCCTCAGATTTAATTTGTGACCCTCTGGAGAAAATAAAATGTCAACTTTCACAAATTAATCTTGTCAAAACGCTGATGGTAAATAGTCCACAAAAGGAAACTTTTGTAACTTCTCCTTTTCTAAGCATTAGATACAAAAGTTGGCATGTACGTGCAACCCAGCCTGATATTTTAATGTGTGTTTTAACTTTAATTTTTTTTAATAGTTTAACACTGTATGTGTATATTATGTTTGTCAGGAGCTACCTGGATCTTGATTTTTTTAAATAATAGTAGTGATAAATTCATATAATTTCAATCTCTGGTTGGTGTCTGTAGATATTTATATTCACATTACAAGTTTGAATAAAACAGAGACAAGTAGAAGGTAAAGCCTAGTTTAAGCTTCTGCCTTTTCACACCTCCTTGCGTCCTTGCGTGTGTCGGCCCATTTTTCTAGGTTTGCGTCGAAAGTGCCGCAGCGCACCAGGCTGCGATTGGTCCGCTAACTACGTCCTTTACGGAGTCTCACATTTCCGTTTTCATAGCTCGATACCGCCATTATTACAACGAAGAATCTTTACGAGAGAACGGAGCAGATTGAAGAACTTTTGTCGGAAGAAATGTGTAAATATGACCCGGGTTGGATTCATGGAGGGAGATCTCCGCAAACGCCGGTTTGCCGGTCGAGAGCTGCACAAAGTTGTGGAGGAAAATACGACAAATGTGTCCGCGATGAAAAGCAACAGTGTCGATGCACGGGGCAATAAAGTGAATGATAAATAAATAAACAAACCAACAACTTCCACACACAGAGACGTGACTCTCTAAGTCGTCTTCAACAGAAACACGTTACTCCGCCTGTTGTTCTGGCGGTGAATTGCTCTGCAAGACACGCAAGACTTTTAGAACCATGAATTGAAGCGAGTGCGTCGACGCAACGACGCAGACGCAGAAGCAGAAGCGTGCGCAGCCTTAAGTAGTAACATCTCAGATTGTTTTATGGAAAACAAAAGTCTCTTACCTTTCACTGTTATTTGTAATCCATCACATTCAGCTGTTGCTAGAAATGCTTCGTTCTCAACCCTGAAGTAGTATGTGTCTGTGTATGTTGTGTTTAAACTGGAAAATAAAGTGGTGCAGTTTTTCTGACTCAAGTCTCCAGTAAAACTCATCGGATACGTGTAAACTGTCCCACTACTGTTGAAAATCACCTCACTGGGAGGTTTGTGAAAGTAAGGGCTGTTTTTAATCCACACTCCAAAGGTTGTTGGTTTTGCTGTTGAATTTCTCTCCTGATTTCAAGCTGAAGTTACATGGAATTCGCAAACAAGATCCAGTCAGTGCTTCCATCTCTTTTGGTGCAGTGATGTTTAGATGTCTGGTCTTATAACAATCAGCAGAAGCAGAAGAACCTGTGAAACAAACTAATGATTAACAGTGGTGATTAAAATGTGTAAAAACACAACAATAACATGAACACAAAGAGAAATATACTTCAGTAGTAATGTTTTGTGTTGTTTGTTCTTTATTTCCCTGAACAGTTTTTGTGTTGATTCATCTTTTTGGTTTTACAACTTTCCCCCACAAGGCCGAGCCCAGTGGGACCAAACCCGTCTCTGTCTCCAAATAACTACGTCACTTTTGTCTCCGTGATAAAAGAGCTCAGCAGGAAAACACAGATTGTAACATTCACATGAATTTTGGTTAAAATGATATTTTCCAAACAGTAAATGATTGAAGTGAAACACAAGTGAGTGAAGATGAAGCTCACCTGAGAGGAAGAAGACACTGTGCAACACGATGGCTGTCACCATCCTAACAGACTGGTCGGCCATGACACTCACCACCTGATTCACAAACACAACATCAGTGTTCTAGGAAGCGTTCAACATGCTGTGTGCAACCACAAGTTCCTGTGTGTGAAGAGACCACAGCTCACAAGTCTGTGGACGAGTACGACTCTGAGTGTTGGATGAGAATAAAACTATGAATGTCTCCCTCTTACCAAAGAAGCCCACGTCCATAACAGAGGGACCATTAGATCAAGTGCAGGTCTTTGTTTTAGCAGAGTTCTCCCCTTAACTGCTCATATCCGTGAGTCTATATCATCTTTATGTATCACACACGTCACAATAATAATAATGTAGCATTAACAGTCAGTGACTTGAGTTTAGTCACTGTGAATAACTGAGTCTCTGTTGCTCTGCATTACAGGACTGATGAACCTCACACACTTACTGTGTTATTAACATTTATAAAACGGGTAGATGAAATCCAGCGTTCTGATTGGTTGACAGTGAGTCACGAGGGTACATTATTGATCTATAATGAACAGTTGCTGTTCACATTGACCCGAGTGTTCCGTATCACTGCGCACTCAAAGTAGCAGGTTAGATTTTGCTCGCCGAAAAAAAACAGAAATCCCACAAATGATCGTTTTCGGGCAACGTGAGCTTTAGCAACCGGACAATTAAGGTGGACGTCATGATGTGAATGAATGAGATGGTGCGGGACGTCCCGCTGCTCGTCGGGCCCAACAACACCCCCGAACTGTTATTGGACGATAAAGTACAGCCTCTCGTACCTTATTGCTTTAATAAACTTTAAATAAATGACCAATAGTCAAAACATTTCCTCATTCATAGTTTCTACTTCCTCTTCATCTCTAATGTCTATTAAACTTCTCTCTGCATTGATACATCAGGCAATCAGTAAAATTGTTGGTGAATAATTATAATTAAAACTCTCGTAACGATGATATTTTAGTAATAAAAGACAGTTTTCTCTTTTTGCTGTGCTACTAAAATGAAATATTGAAGGTGACATTAACTTACATTGAGTGAGTGTTTCTTCTTCAGTGCAGTCTGCTGTCTGACAAGTTCAATGCAGAAGTCACAGGTCTTTGAACCAAGATGGTCTGTGAGAGGAAGGAGGAGGAACTGGGAGGTGGAGACAAATATCACTGCTGGTGTTCCTGTAAATGGCAAATAAAATAGAATTCACACACTTTTATTGTACTAAAACTACAAAACTCTGGAAAAAATACCATTAATTCACCAGCCAATGATTAAATAAAATTTTATAAATTTAATTGAAGAAATGGATTTAAATCACCAAGCTGATTGGAGGCCACACAGTAATAAACTCCTCCATCAGAGACATTAAAGCTGTAAAAGTCTCCTTCAGATACTTTGATTGTTTCATCTCTGCTGGTCTTGAAGCAGGTGAAGCGGCTCACAGGAGGTTTGACTCTTTTCCTTCATTCACAGGATATCTGGCAGAACAGGTGATGTAAATATTGTACTTTTACTGAATGTCAGCACATTCATCCACATTTCCCCTCTGAACTTCTCACATGTCTTCATTTAATAATTCCACTACTTTATAATGAAGCAAATATTAGAGAAAAGTCACAAATATGAAGTCGTATGTGCAGCAGAACATTTTTTCTCTTTTCTTTTCCCACCAATCACCTCACGACTCGTCATATTTCATAGAATTTTCACTAACTAAGGTTGTGAAAAACTGATGGTAAATAGTCCACAAGAGTTTTGTAACTTCCCTTTTTTCAAGTGTTGCAGTGTTTTCAGAATACAAATGTCATGTACAGGCAGCTTTCCCACGAGATTATTAATAGTAGTGAACTAAAAAATTCATTCATATCCAGGAAGTGGAAACATTTTATTCCCTGGTTGGTGTCTGTAGGTTACATTACATTACAGGTCATTTAGCAGACGCTTTTATCCAAAGCGACTTACATTACACTTTTCACATTTTGCCCAGTGAGCAATTAGGGGTTAGGTATCTTGCTCAGGGACACTTCGACTTGAGACATGGGACAGTCGGGACT